ACTCTACTTTTATTAATGTTTTTTGTTAATTGTTTATGAATTGTGTGTTGTCATTAGCAGTAATAAGTAAAAGTGACTAACAAATTGCCATAAATCTAACCTGAAGACAGATCATCAACTATCAAAAAATCATTCACTGCAGGAAAAGTTAATAATAATGACAACAATAACTCTACCTTCATAATGTTGGAATACCATAGAGCTTGGCCTTTCTTTTTCTATCTATACTCACCTCCTTAATATTCCTGTATAGTCCTTAATGATCTCATATTGTCTTTTTCAAATACAATCTATACAAAGATAAAGGCCAAATATGCATCTCCCCACTGGATCTTTCCCCTACACTCCAGACTCTATATTCAATGCCTAGTCACATCATCAGCAAATCTTCTCAGTTCTACTTTCAAAATATGCCCCAAATTTATCCACTTCTCACTACTTTTACTGCTACCATCCCAGTTCAAGCCATCATCATTTTTCCATTGGGTTTCTGCAACAGGCTCCTAACTAGTGTTCCTGCTTCCACCCTTGCCTTCCTGCCTTCTATTTTTAATGCAGCAACCAAAGCGATCCTATAATAAATAGTCAGATCATGTCATCCCTCTGCTCAAAATCCTCCCCTGGTTTCTCCTCTGGGTTATCTCCTTCTAGGCTACCCTTCGCTCCCTCCAGCTCCACTGCACCCGTTTGCTGTTCCTATTTTTTCCTAATAGTGTTTGGATCCTTGCTTTGTCTACAGCCTTCCTTTTATCTAATTCTGTTAATTTATCTCATCTTTAATATTTTTGTTTCACTGATTACATATTCTTTTTAATACCTTCTAGAGCAAGGTTACTTAAAGTGCTTGTTCATGATATTCTAAGAAACATGCCCCAGAATGTAAACCATGCTGCTTCCTGCACTGAGAGTATCTTGCTAACAAAAAAATGTCAGCTGAACTAAACAGCATACTTAACTGCTATAATTAATTTACATCCTGACATAATCTGCTTATCTTCTCATTGGTAACACTTCAGAGAATGGAAACTTGTTCAAGGACTACACTTTGAGTAGCACCATCCTAAAATATAAAAATTTGTTGTATAAATTTTTAGCTTCTTTGTTATATATTTCATAACAATAATAGTTGCTAACATTTATTGAGTACTTACTATGTGCCTGCACCATTCTAAGCCATTTTGATCTTCGTAAAACCCCTAAGGATAGGCACTATAATTATTTTACAGATAATGAAATCAAAGCATAAATGTATTGATTAAGTTGTACAAAATTAGTTATTTTATAGCAGGAAGGGGATTTACACTCAGGCATTCTGATTCCAGAGTGCATAGTCTTCATGAAATGGAATTTTAAATCTGTTTTTTGTATGCTTTCTTGTTTATATTCTTTTATATTTCCTGTAATATTTTGCATATTTTCCATAGCACATTTGCCATGTTTTTTTTTTTTATTCCTGTCCTGTTTAATATAGAGAATTCTATTGAGGTCCTCTTTTGCATAGATATAAAGTAGATACATAGATAAGATTCCTTCTTATCTCAGACCTATTGATCTTCCCTTCAGAACTTTAGTTTAAGGGCACCATTTGGATTGATTATGTTTCTTCACATTTCTGTTGCCTGAGGGAATGGATATGATTCGCTCTGTCAGACTTTGGTCAATATTAATTGATAGTTTTTGTCTTATGTCTTTTCTGAAGCAAGGGATAGAGTTGGGGTGTCATTCTATCAAGTTATAAGTTTAAAAACAAATGACTCAGCCCTACAAGAGATTAATTTGACCAAATGAATCACTGTTACAAGTGGAAATCCCATTGGGGGAATTGTTCTATAGATAAACTTGCACGCAGATGAAGTGCTTTTTGTATAGAATTATCCATTACAGCATAGTTTGTCCTAGTAGTAGAATGGAAGCAACTCACATATCTAAGAACAGGAAGTGATTATGGGATAGCCACATGCTGCAAGATTATGTAGTTGTAAATAAGAGGAAGTTATCTATGTGCTGTTATGGAAAGCTTCAAAGATATGAAGGGAAAAAGCAATGTATACTAATGTTTATCCACTGCTGTTTGGCATTTATATGTCATATATACATATGAATAATGATACTGTTTTTGAAACGGAAAGAAAAACAAGACTATTCTTTCAAAATATTCTTATTTTGATTCTTGGGAAATTTTTGAAAAAAGGGAAAGAAAAATAAGAATATATATTCATAGAGAAACAGTGGAAAGATGCAGGAGGAACTGATAAAAGTGGTCACTAGCAGGAGACCATGGGGATAAGTAACAGGATGGATGGAGACATGTCACCACCTTTTTTAAAAAAAAGTAAGTGAAAATATGTATACATACACTTTTTTTAATTCTTATGAACAGTGGTCTCATGTGCATGTCTCCCAAGTGGCACCCTCACTCTTCTCCCATTTAGCTGAGACAATAAGGTGAAACCTGAATTTTTTAAGCCTGGTGTTCACTGTCCTGCTGAAGGAGGAGGACTTTAAAGGAAGCTTTCCAGGATTCTTTTAGCCAACCTTCCCCAGATTTTCTTCAGCATGCTGTGCCTTTCCTTTGTTCTAATAGAGCCCCTTTTATTGATGGAGTTAATTGGCCCACAGTGAAGCACAGTCATGTCCTCTTACTTCCTCCCCATCCTGAGAACCAAAGTGCACTGATGAATCCTGAACATCTCTCCATGTCTGAGTCACAGTGGTGGTGGGAACAGCACAACTTTCCATATCTTGTTCTCTTGGCAGCCTCCTTACTCCCTCCCTCCAGATTAGAAGGTTATGGTGAAGTTTTATAAACGTTGCCACCAGCTTTTTTCTCTCCATCTGATTTGGTGGGTAACACTGCTTGGAAGTTGGAACAACACATCATAGATTTCTGAAGTCTTTTGCTCTTTTTTGCTAATTGGTATTTAAGAAAAATAAGTCGAAGTTGTAATTCTTTGTTTTTATTTTAAAAGATTTTGTGATCTGCCTTGACATACTATCTTACCCTAGCAGTTTTTCATATTGTTTCTAAATAGCTGTTATATTCCTTCAAATGCACTTATCTGTACCAGCTAATGACTAAGATAATGGTGTTGAATTCAATGATAAGTGTAAATCATCTTAATTGACAGAAAATAAATGCCTCTGGATGGTTTAACAATTGTTTTCTTATTCAGGGGAAACTTCTTTCTACAACTTTGCATAGCAAAACCTTTTTTTTAAATAATGCAGCAACAAAAGTTAGCAGTGAATCCCATTCAATGAAGAGAGTCCAAATTAATGTGATTTTATTATTTTGGATGTATGCATGTCACATTTTAGAATTCTTAAGCCTTAGAATACCTCTTGGCAATTAGCACAATATACCACAGAGCCAGAACCTAAAGTACAGAGAGTGAATGTCAGCAATTTCCTCACTAGTCAGATGCAGCTGCAAACATTTACTCATATATATATTAGAATGAAATTCTCTATGTTTTTTTCCCTTGGTTTTTGTTCCCATGACAGTTTTCACCACTTTTGTTGAGCAGTGTTAATAATTGAGTGTTAAACCTCAATTATTTAGCATTTGTAGCCATGTTACTTATGTTGTTATGAATGTTATTATAATTTCTTCTTGAGGTCTGGCCTTTGCCAATAAAGAGTAAGTAAAAATGCTCTGGAATATAGCCTGTGGCTCACATTTGACAATATGAAACCTATATTTATATATTCTAAATGTTCTGTCTTTTGATAAAAAAAAAAACTGCCATTTGTGGTGGGGGGTTATTAGGAATATCGCCAACATTTTCTGAAGTTATTTAAATTAGATTCATATAGTGTACTTTTCTTTCACAGTTGATCTAGTTCTTCTACTCCGAATTTAGAATTTTTTTTAAATAAAAGAACGAGTCTAGGCCTGGAATGGTAGCTCATACCTGTAATCCCATAACTTTGAGAAGGTGAGGCAGAAGGATTGCTTGAGCCCAGGAGTTCGAGACCAGCATGGGTAAAATGGTGAAACCCCATCTCAACCAAAAAAAAAAAAAATTAGCTGGGTGTGGTGGCATGCACCTGTAGTCCCAGCTGCTCCAGAAGCTGAGGTGGGGGTATGGCTTGAGCCTGAGAGGCAGAGGTTGCAGTGAGCTGAGATCATACCACTGTACTCCATCGTGGGCAACAGAGCCAGACCTTCTGAAAAAAAAAATATTAATAAATAACAACAACAAAAGAATAATCATACTTTGTTGATTGTTGAACTATAATCATTCTTTGTTGATTTTACTGGAGAAAGTCTCAAGTCTTTGTTTCTAGAATTCACTTCCAAACAGAGATGTTAATTTTTCCCTAGGTGAATAAATATATTTTTTTCAGTAGTTCCAGGATTCATTGGAAAAAGATATTTCTTACTTTTCACACACTCTTATTATAATTGATTCTCCATTAGTTCCCCATCAACACAATGCCTGACTCTGGACAAACAAAAAAACTCTGAACCTTTCAGATCTTCCATTTATGCTAAGTCAGTAGAGATGCTGCCAGTCATTGTTAGGATATTTGTGTTCTATTTTGTTTGTCCTTAATACAAAAATGTATTTATGCTTAATATTTAAATATTCAGTTTCCTTAGATTTTTGTTTCTAGTCTACATGGTAATTTGATAATGGAGAAATTAGATTTAAACTGCATAAAAAGTTAGAGTGTTATGTTACCTATCACGAAAATACCAACGTAATTTATTTTAATCTGGAGGTTTGTAATGCTAATATAATACCATTTACATTTTCTGAATGTCTCCTATTATATTAAACTGTACCCTTTAGTTAACACACCCTTTGCTGCCTGTGATAGCCCTTGTGAAGCTCACAAAAGACTAGTAGTTTAGCTTCCCAATTATCTGTTTGTCATTTATTTATTTGGATCTGTATATTATAATCTTTTTGAGCTTTTCAGGTTGAATGAAAGTTTCCATTTTTAATGTTTTGATTAAATTTATAATATTCTTCTGCTTTGTTACTTTTTAGATTGAAAAGAAATGCTGAGAAATACATAAAGTTTTCCTCTTCTGCTTTGGATATTTATAATGGGTATCGGGAAGTCTAAAATAGATTCCTGCCCTCTTTCTCTCTCTTGGGGTAAAAGGCACAGTGTGGATACAAGTCCAGGATACCAAGAGTCAGATTCCAAGAAGTCTAAAGATCTGTCCTTGTGTGATGTTGCTGAGCACAACAATTCAACAGAGGGGCCAACAGGAAAGCAGGAGGGACCTCAGAGCATGGAAGAGATGCTTGAAGAAGCTGAAGAAGAGGTGTTCCTCAAATTTGTGATATTGCATGCAGAAGATGACACAGATGAAGCCCTCAGAGTCCAGAATCTGCTACAAGATGACTTTGGTATCAAACCTGGAATAATCTTCGCTGAGATGCCATGTGGCAGACAACATTTACAGAATTTAGATGATGCTGTAAATGGATCTGCATGGACAATCTTATTACTGACTGAAAATTTTTTAAGAGATACGTGGTGTAATTTCCAGTTCTATACATCCTTAATGAACTCTGTTAACAGGCAGCACAAATACAACTCTGTTATACCCATGCGGCCTCTGAACAACCCCCTCCCCCGAGAAAGGACTCCGTTTGCTCTCCAAACCATCAATGCCTTAGAGGAAGAAAGTCGTGGCTTTCCTACACAAGTAGAAAGAATTTTTCAGGAGTCTGTGTATAAGACACAACAAACTATATGGAAAGAGACAAGAAATATGGTACAAAGACAATTTATTGCCTGAGATGAAACATAAAACACATGGCTGGCTCCTGTTTTGTAAACTAAATGATTAATCTTCACTTGAGAAAGCAGTTTCTAGGAAATGTTTAAATAAAAGAGAGTCTTATCCTCACAGAAACCTATGGAGCACAAGAAAGATAAATTTCTGCAGGACAATCTATAAAATTGTGGTACTTTTTGATGAATCAGTAAACATTACATTGTCAGAGTTTCAAGAATTTTTCTTTCACAGTTTTCCTGGTTCATGGATATGAAAAAGGAATTCTCAATCCATATTCCTCATATTGAACCTTGAACAAAAACTTGTATGACAGACATTTTAAAACATGTGGTAACACTTTTATTCTCTGAATTTTGATCTCAAAGGACACAGACAAAAATGGCCCCAGGAGATTTGACCATACTTCCTCTTGAGGCACCTCTCATGGATGTTGCAATAAGCATTCGGATGCTATCACCTAGAAATATGAATTGCCAGAATAGAACATTTAGCATGTTGAGTGTTGATGCATATGAAATCAGAAACAGATGTGAGAATGGTGGAACTTTTTTAAAAAAACTCAGTCAAATGTATTTTCTGCTGAAATCTGCATATTCGGAGACATTTCCCACCACCAATTCACAGCTCATTTGATAGTGTGGTAGTTAGGGACTTCATGGAGTGGTGTTCAGACGTCCCCTGGGGCTTGACGCTCTTCATATTAGTCATCATGTGTAACTAGGGCTTTATTTGCAGAGTTTCTAAAAGGTGTATGACTGTATGAGTGGCCAGATGTTCACTTTTAAAATCAATAACCACGCTTATGGAAGCTTTAAACAAGTTTCCCTCACACACAATTCTCCACTCAGGAAGTATTTCTCATTTAGATCTTCAGAGTAGCCTGACTGTGTGCATGTGTGTGTGCAATGGGTTATTTGTAAAAACTTGGCAAAGAAGGAGATGTATTTTATTACCTCCTGCTCTAGAGCCCCATGCTCCTAACAAGCCAGAGGCCCCAAACAGGTTTGTTTCTTTCCTCCACAGCCCTTCTGCCCATCTGCCCATCAGAGATTGACGGAGCATAGTCCACTTCAGATCAGGAATGGGGTGGAGAACAGGTCGTGTCATGTAATGAGAAAAGCACTCTTTGGGGTCATGAGACCCGGTTCTAGTCCAGTCTCTGCCACTGAGGATGAATGTGACTGTGGACAAACTATTTACCCTTCTTTATCTGTGAAATGAAAGGACTGAATTGATGGATCTCTGAAGGCCTTTGTCCTCTGTGAGGATGGGAAAAACTAGAGACCACAAAAGGGAACAAGCAAAAAAGTTAGGATTTGATAGTGTGATATATAATAGTTGCAGAAGGCTTTACATATGCTTATAATGAAAAGATCTTTGTATATTGACAGCATAATTGATTTTTAATGCTGTTATTACACTTTTAAAGTCACAGGAAAAAATATACATGCTTCCTCAGGTTTTCTTAAAAATACCTTTTTATAGAGATCCTTGAGTAAAGATATTTTGCTTAATTTTTTTCTTCTTATCCCCACTTCTGTATCCCCTACCAGTACTGGGATCTGCACACATCTTTTTGCAGTTCACCTCTTCATATCCATGAACCAAAATGTTCTATGAGGAACATGCAAGTAAGTCAAAGCTCCTGTTCCATTAGTACTTATTAGAGGAGGAGATTGTTTTCATTGCATAGTGACATTTTCTTTGCCTTAACATTCTGATACTACTCCCTTTTTCAGTTTTCATAGTAAGTATTCATTTTTCTGCAATAATGCTTCCTGTAAATCCAATTTTATATACTAATAAAACATGAAGTGCCCAACCTTCTTGCCTGCTAAACTTGAGGCAATTGATGCTAAATGGTATTTTTAAAATAAATGTTTTTATTCTTTACTCTTGACTAAACTTGTTTATTTTCAATTCCAATGAAGATTGTGGAAAAGTGTTTTGAAATGAAGCATTGATTCATTTCATAGAGCACCAGATATAATGTCTCACCCAATCTGGAGTTCCATATTTTTTTTATGGTGAAGAAAAGTGTTAAGTGCTGAATTCTGGTATACATTGAAATTATTAATGGTAACAAAACAGCTAAACTGAGGATGAAAATAGGTAAAGGTGTGGGCTTCATCATGTGTTTAAATGTATGTGTACATATGTGCATGCACACACACATCTAGGTACATATGCATATCAAGAAATCTGGGAAATTCTGCACCATGCTGTGGAACTTTCATTGTGAGTACTCTGTAGGCCTTATTGCCCACCCTGGAGCTTCACAGGGGAGAACCTGAGTGGAGCCTTATGTATCAGTTAGGAAAACCCCATGCCACATGGCCTAAGCCATAAGAAAAAATTATTATCTGACTTAATAAGAGGTCTGTCAATGTATAGGGCTCAAAGATGTCATTAAAAACCCAGTCATATACTGAAATACTATTCAGTTCTACAAAGGAATGAAATTTTTATACATGCTACAACATGGGTGAACCTTGAAAACATTATGATAAGTAAAATAAGCCAGACACAAAAGGACAAATATTATATGATTCACTTATACGAGGTAAATTCACAGAGACAGAAGAGAATTTACCAGGGGCTGCAGGGAGGGAGGAATCGGGAGCTATTATTTAATGGGTACAGAGTGTCTGTTTGGGGAAATGGGTAATGGTGATGATGCACAACCTTGTGAATGTACTTAATACTGTTGAATTGTACACTTAAATATGGCTAACATGATAGATTTTATGTTATATATATTTTACAATACAAGTTAAGTATCCCTTATCCAAAATGCTTGGGACCAGAAGTGTTTTGAATTTTGGATTTTCAAATTAGAGATGCTCAACTTGTAATTTAAAAAAAGAAAAGGTAAAAAAACAAACCAGGTTCTTTCTATCTGTCGCTCTGCCATTCTCTGAGTTTCAGTTGAGCCCCCTTCCAAGTTGTAGCCTTGCTGCCCCAGTGTCACACACCGTACAGACATGACAGTGTCCAGCCTAATAAGACAATAGAAGTGATTCACTCAAATGGGAAAAAAACCCACCACTGCATTATCAAAAATTGTTGATCCCCAGTGATAATAAAGAGCCATCTGATTCCCAGCTGGTTCAATTATTTTAAAATTCTCCCTACCTCTACCCTGAGTGGACATCTCCCAGCCTCCCTACCTCCCAACATCTTATTTCTGTGAGTCAGACTAGCTGGATTTGAATTCCACCTCTGTCCTCTATAAAGTATATTCTTAAGCAAGACATGTAACATTTTTGAGTCTTAGTGTCCTCATCTAAAAATAAAGATCATAAATACCTCCCTGAAAGGTTATTTTGAGGATTAAATGAGCTAGTGCCTCACATATAGCTACCATATCTATGCTACTAGAACTATTTTTGTTGCCTACACAGATTCAATCTGCAGCATGGGTTGGCGGGGAGGATACATATGCATTTTTACATGCCCACAATCCTATTTTTGGAAACCTCGCAACTTGTAAAGAATAGATTTTAGACAAAGACAAAGGAAGATGCCAGGCCTTGTTTTCACGTGCAGTACAGTGCCTAGTCAGGCACTGAAAAGCAGAAGAGCCCCCTTGATCAACAAGAGATGTGTGAGCTGTTGATGAGAATGAGTGTGGAGGAAGCTGGTGGCATGGAGGATGCAAGACCATGGTGCCATGATTCTAACAAGTTGTAAAAGTTGGGCCATAAACTAGAAAAGCAGGAAAATGGAGTCTAGAAGTGCCAGCTTTGAAGGCAGTTAGGAGGAAGAATGGTTCAGACCTGGATACCTTCAGCAGAGTTTTGTTGCTTGTTACACTCAAAAACGGTGGATCAACTTTGTATTCATTTGATTTTGGAGGGCAGGGGGGGTAACCCATTTAATTTAGCTCTTTTCTTAGCAACTCCCAAATAATTTTGCCTCATTTGGGAATAGGCTGGATGAGTTTAGTTATACTGTTCCCCTTGGGTTGGGTGGAGAAGGGAGTAAGAGTATCACTAATCTGCTCTGCTCCTTTCTTTCCTAACTAACTTGAGGACTGCCTTGAATTCAACAGGCTGCTTGCTAGGGTTAACCCTTTCCAGCACAAGTCATGGATGTTTTCCACTTCAGTCCCTCATCATTCAATTGTGCAGATCCTAACGCATTGGTTGGCAATACCGCCTCAGTGCATAGGAGGTAACATTAGTCATAGGAACAACTTCCCTGGGCCCTCTCATTTGCAACAGCTCATTCCTAAGCCCCAATCCCAGTTGCTGATGGTGGATGTTTTTCCAACCTGGAAAGCTTAATCACTTCCTCTCCAGTAACAAATGCATAGACTAGATTTCACTGAGCTATCTGTCTGCCCAGGAAAGGACCCTGCAAGAAAGAGATCAAAGTGGTTTTCACAGTATTGTTACAAGGGAAATCTGAGTTGGGGCCCAAGTCTCCAACGATGTAAAGTGGCTCAATATTAGAATCTAATTCAGGAGAATCATTTCAGTGCAGACAAAGGATCTCAAGTCCTTTATCTGTACATTTTGCAGGTAAAAAAACCTCAGTGCAGGCCAAGAAACAACATGTTATGCTGTGGAGTCAGGCTATTCCCAACTGTAGAGAAAGTCTATTGATCCATGACTGCGGTGCGGCTGGCCCCAGGGCCAGTGAGAAGCTTTTGCCATGGCTGCCTTGCTGGTGAGCTGGGATTCTGTGTGTTTGGCCTGAGCAATCTGTGCTGCCTCTATGGCTTTCCTCCTCTTCACAGTCTTCTTACGCTGCCTGGTCTTAGGTCACCTGCGGAGATGTCACAGAAAGTGACTGTACCCTCCATGCTTGTGGATGGTCTGAAGGGCAAGGAGGAAATTTCAGAAAGCTGTCAGGCAGCTGATGAAATGAAACCACAGCATCTGGAAGTCGATGCTTACCTCCTTAAGCCAATGACTAGAAGGAATGAACAAGAGAACTGGTGTTGTTGTCCATGGACCTGATGTTTTTTATGAGATTCCAATTCTTATGAGATATTATGTATATAGCTCTTGTTCATATATATATGTCATGTGTGGCAATCCTCTTGTCAATTAACATTAAATTTGGATTGAGGTAAGTAGTACCTGAAAGTGCCATTAATTAATAACTCAGAGCATAAAAATTATTAAAAGCTCAACGAGTTAACTTGTGGAAAAAAAGAAAGACAGTTGCTCTCTCTTCTCCTTTGCCAATGAAGCTGCTCTCACAACTGTTTACTCCAACATCGATACTCCTTCACCGCACCCTTCTTTTCTTGCGTGATAAAGGATTTTTCTGGGGAAATCATTTCTTTAGCTAGTATAACGCTCCTCTCTTTCTCTTCACACAGAGTGAGTTCTGAGTCATTTTACTCTGAGGTGAATAAATAGGAATGCTTTTATTAGCAAATAACAGGAATCTGCATTTAAGCAGATTCAAAATCTAATTAGAGTGTTCCTTCAAGCTGCCTACTCAAATTACAGGTTTAAAACAAGAAAATTCGTTTTCTCTATTATTTGTAGGGGAGCTCTACAAACTAGCTCCTCCCAGAAGTTTCCCATGTATATATTGGGCAGGACACATAATGAGCTTTGCAGATTTCTGTGTATTTTATGTGTATTTATAAATAATGCTATCACATTAAAATGTTCCAACATTAGATTCTAGTGCTGGTTGCACAACTCTGCACATATACTAAAAACTATTGAGTTGTACACTTGAAATGGGTAAATTTTATGGTATGTAAAATATATCTCAATAAAAAACCTAAAAAATACTCTCAAGCAGAGACTACAGTAAAATGCTACAGTGATTTGAAAACACAATTTAGCAATGACTAGTAATGTTGAAGATGGGCATATCTTATGAATCTAGCAATTCTACCTCCGGATTTGTATCCCAAAGAAACTCTCTCACAGGTACCTAAAGAAGTAAGAGTGAGAAGGATGCCTATGCAGCATTATTTGTAATAGATGAATAACGGGAAACAATCTAAATGGCCATCAGTAGAGGAATGCAGGAATACATTATGGTAGGTTCATGCAATCAATACTGTAGGGCATTGAAAATAACTAAGAAAGCTACATATATGAAGATGGGTAAATTTCTAAAATGTAATGCTGGGGAGAAGCAAATTATAGAATAATATGGAAAGTTTGATAATATTTATATAAAGTTTTAAAACATACAAAACAGCTCCATATTTTTAACGGATACTTATACTGGTGATGGTATATTGTTTTTCCATGCTCTCCTGTATGTTTGAAAAAGTTCATAATCATTTTTTAAATTAGCATATACTTATAGTCTTGTTAAGTACTGTAAAAGTTTCTTACACATGCAATGATTTGGGGAATTAAAAAATGAAGACTGTCAATAGATTGAGAAATACGTTTCATTTTTTATCATCTACTATGTTTGGCACTTAACTTACATTATATCTAGTGTTCCTAAGATTCCCATGGGGCTAGTCTTACAGTGTCCAATACTGGGCCAAGAAACAGATGCTAGAGATATAATACATCCAATATCACAGGCTGGTAGATGATGGAGTCATTAAAATATCCAGTGGCCTGGCTCCAAAGCCTGGTAAGTCTTAGGCTTCATAATGCTGGTTCTCAATGTACCTGTCTGCTCTTCTCATGGTGGAAAAATTAGGAGAGGTCAGTAGTACAAAGAGAAAACCACAGCAATTTCTAAGTGAGAAAGAAACAGCATGGTGAGGCTGCCATAATTCTAGCCTTCTTTGCCTAGTAAGAACAACTCATAACAGAGAGTCAGGAACTACGTGTCCTAATTCCACTGTGCTGCTGTGGAGCTAACTTTTCTAATCTTCACTTTCCTCCAGAAGACTCAAAGTATTGCAGTAGCTGATTTCTGACTTTTTTCTAGTTGTATGATTTTTTTTT